TGTTGCAGAGGATGGTACAATCCCTATTAGGTTGGTTAATCCTTCTTTTGAACCAGTCAAAATTTACCGTAAAACTCGTCTAGCAAAATTTGAGAAGGTACCTCGCAACGTAACTACTATTGAGTTGAATGCGAACAAAAAGCTACGCGAAAGTCATTGTTCTCTTAATAGTGACGACGAACCAAAAGAATGTGATTATTCTCAATTGCCTGACTTGTCTGATAGTATTCTGTCAGCTGATTACAAAATTAAATCTCGTGATTTGTATCGTAAATACCTTGCTGTTTTCGCTTTTTCTGATGCCGAGTTAGGTAAAACATCGCTGGTACAGCACGTGATCGATACGAGTGACGCTACCCCAGTTAAACAAATGCCATATCGCACTTCGCCTGAAGGTAGAAAAGAGGTCGATAGACAAGTGAATGATATGATGGAACATGGAATTGTTCAAGAGTCAGTTGGTGCTTGGTCTTCATTAGTTGTTCTAGTTACAAAAAAAATGGTTCTATGAGATTTTGCGTTGACTATCGTTAACTGAACAAAGTTACCAAAAAAGACAGTTTTCCTTTGCCTTTGATTGCCGATACTTTAGATTCTTTAAGTGGAACAAACGTTTTCAGCACAACTGACACGAAATCAAGTTATTGGCAAATAGAGCTTCACCCTACTGCCAGAGAAAAGACTGCTTTTGCTACGCACAACGGCCTGTATGAATTCTTGGTAATGCCTTTATGGTCTTACAAATTCTGGGCAGAGTTTCCAGAGACTTATGGGCCATATCTTGAGAGGAATGGAATATCGGTTTGCACTTAAATATATATCGATGATATTATTACATTTTCAAAGTCGGTCGATGAACATTTGGTCCATTTAGAAGAGGTTTTCAAGAGACTTCGTGAGGCTAATATCAAACTAAATCCAAAGGAGTGTGATTTCGTTAAACAAAGGGTAGAATATCTTAGTCATATCGTAACTCCTGAAGGTGTCAGTCCCAACTCAGAAAAGATTCGTGTTGTGCAGGAATTCCCTACTCCAATTAATCTCAAGGAACTCAGGAATTTCTTAGGTCTCGCTAATCATTACAGGCGCTTTGTCAAAGGTTTTTCTCACATAGCCAATCCCCTGAATGCATTAACTAAGAAGGGCTTTTCTTTCAATTGGACAGAAGAGTGTGCAGTTGCTTTCGACAAGTTGAAACGTGCTTTAGTGTCTGCTCCTATTTTAGCTTATCCTAACTTTAAAGAGCCTTTTCTACTGTTTGTCGATGCTAGTTCTACAGGAATAGGATTTACCTTAGCTCAAGTCCAGAATGGTAAAGAAATAGCGATTGCTTATAACGGTCGTGGTTTGAATAGTGCAGAGCGCTACTATAGTACAACTGAGAGGGAGGCGCTCGCGTTCATAGAAGGGATTAAGAAATTTCAGCCCTACCTGCAGAATCGAAAATTTACAGTTGTTACTGATCACAGTTCGTTACGTTGGCTAATGAATGTTAAGGATGTCTCTGGTCGTCTTGCAAGATGGGCCTTACTTTTACAACAGTATGATTTTGAGATTATCCATAGCCCTGGTAAGATGCATGGCAATGCGGATAGTTTGTCCAGACGTCCTTATGACACAAAGCTAAGGAATGCAATTCACTCCAGAAAAGGGAGCCACAAATAGCAAAAGTACGAGAGTTGCAAAGGCATGATTTTGATCTTAGTGAGATTACTGATTACCTGGAAAATGATGTTTTGCCATTAGGCGATAGTGCGGTGCGCAAGCTTTTTACTTGTGAGTGATACCTCTTACATCGGGCATGATGGTTTACTTTACCATTTAGGTAACAATCGAAAGCGCAACTCTTGGGACTCGTTTCCTCAACTCGTTGTACCTCCAGCGTTGAGATTTGAAATTCTGTCAATCATGCATGACCACATTTCCGGTGCGCATTTTGGAGTCCATAAGACTTTTAATAAGGTTAAGCAACGATATTGGTGGAAAGGAATGTACAAAGATGTTGAACATTGGTGTAAGTCCTGCACTGAGTGTTCCATGAGCAAATCTCCGAGAAATACCAAAAAGGCACCTTTACTTCCAATTCCAGTGGAGAATGCTTTTGATAGGGTGACTGTTGATGTGTTAGGGCCTTTCCCACCTTCTAACAAAGGAAATAGGTACGTTGTCGTTTTTAGTGTTTATCTTACTCAATGGTGTGAAGCATTTCCTGTTCCGAGCGTTGAGGCAACTGTAATTTCTCGCCTATTAGGGAATGAGATCATCGCCAGACATGGTGCACCTAGAGTTTTGTTGTCTGATAGAGGAGAAAATTTATAGTCTAAAGTGGTCGCAGATGTTTGTAAAGTTTTCGA